TTCTGGAACTTTGGAGAGTAAACTTGATAAAGTAAAAGAAAACAGGATTATTATACAGTTGTATTAGAGAGTGTTAATCTCTGGTAAAAATGTATGCAGTTTTCCTAGGCACATAGATATCTAATTAATATTAATGCGTTCTTATTAGTTGTAACAATATTGCGTAAGAAATGCACAAGAATTTGATAGAATATCACTCAGGATTATTTCTAGGACAAGACTGCCCATTTCATGAGCAGCAGACATGCTTATTAATTAATTGAATAATTTTTTCGTCCATTTATTGTTTCGTTTTCGTTCGATAAATAAGTCAAGATTTCGCGCATCTTTTGTGTACAGTAACTGCAGGAAAAGTATTACATCTTGATTGGAGTCCCAAATAATTTTATTCCTCACTTACTAAACAGAAATCGATAAACTATCCAGTAACTGTTGAAAAAATGCATGAAATTTCCACCAGGGATTTGGAGAATAAACTGATCTCAGTAAAAATATATCATTATTATCGTATCAGATAGTAGTAATGTTTAAAACGATATTTCCTCCTTGTACAAATGAATCGTAAGGTGAGCAAAGAGTGTAGAGCAGGTCTCGCCGAAAACCGCATAATCCTCGGTAGCCGGTCTTCAGGTGCGCTATTGTGCTACGCTTTATCACCTGACGGACGTGACTCGCACACTCCTGATCCTGGACGTTCGCTCGCACTCGGGTCGTCGGCCACATAGTTTTCGCCGTGGGTCACGCGAAGAAGAGGAGTCGTGAGCTGGAGGTAGAAGGCGAAGGTCGCCGCTGCGGCCTCGCATGCTCGACCTCTCGTAGGAACAGCACGTACACAAGGGCTGCATCCAGCTGTACTGCTGCTCCCCCCCACCAGCCGTTACTTGCATTCGCGCGACTTTCCACGACGGTGTTTTCGTCGTGAGTGTGCGTGGGTGATGGATAGACGGTTACCGTGTCACTCGCGCTAAACGGACTTGAATGGCTCGAAATTGCATGGGCGACTGCATTGTGCCCGCATCGATGCACAATGGGCGGCCGCGCGCGTTGCTGTGTGTGTGCGTGAGCCGATGTATGCAGATGCGGCACAAAGGATCCATCGGGAGATAACGATCTTCCAGATGAGCGACATTCCTCCTTCGTGCGACTCGATATCGAGTCGGCCACGCTCGAGATTGGCGGGTGAATCTCGCGTCCGATGTCTTTCACCCGCGATCGTAAGGGTGAATTTGCCGATATTTCCAAGCTAATAACAAGGTAGTTACGTAGGACGCACAAACGACACAGACGAAACAGATGGTAAAACTTGAAGAGCGTATTTCTGCACATCTCGAGGGTGAAAGAAGGAATTATACAAACCTGGTAATTTTTTAAACAGATTTTTTGGTAAATCTCTCACATTCTTTACCCGCATACCTGAGAATTCTGCTTCTGCGAACGCAGCAGTTTTCGCGTCAAACTTTACAGATATATGTCAAAGATCCGTTGACGCTCATCCGCGTCTCCTCCCGTCTGTCCTCTCTTGTGGAGTCTCCAGGACGGGCCATGTATACCCTAAAAAAATCTATCGCGACGCTCGTTGGCGTTTCTTCAAACCGTCACCTGTGATTCGCCGAGAGCGAAGCGTCGGTTACTCGCTAACTTACTGGAAAAAACGGAAAAAAACCGTCGTTTCTCACGTCTCAGACTGCGTCTGTGTGTGTACGGCTGCTGTACGTGTGCCTAACGCAAAGAAAGATCGCTGGTAGTTTCATCCGCGCTCCTTCTCTCTTCCTCTCTCACTCCCTCCTTTCGCGCTATCAAAAAGTATCGCGCACCTGGTACAACGCGAACCGTCATTTTTAACGCGCTATTTTCACGCTAATGCACAAAGCAGGAGCAAGGGGTAAAGTCGAAACCGGTAGAAATCACCCCAAAAGTCTTGGACCCCTTCGCCTCCCTCCTCCCTACCATACGCATCGTCTCTCCCGTTCTCCGCGAGAAATCTCCCGGGGGCCCGCAGATTCTCACGGAAAAAGCGTAATTTCCGAGGAAAAAAGGGAGGGACGATGCAAATTCGTGGATGAAAAGGGAAGGCCGCGTGTGAGAGAGAGGGGGAGACGCGCATGTACCTGCCGCAACATCTCGCGCGACGGAAAGGACGGGAAGGGTCTGGGATGCACGTGAGGGGAAGAGGACGCGCGCGTCGAGCGAGAGGCGAAATTTTATAGGGAATCCACACCAATACCGCACGTTCTTCGCAGCTTCCTGGAGGCATCCTACCTGACCTGTCGGGTCTTTTTTCTTCCTTCTTTTTTTATGATTTCGGGAGAATCCTCCCGTCGCAGGTAACGCAGATGGAGAGGCGAAAATCGGGTCGGGTCCCCGGCAAGCAACGTGACGCGCTCGCAGGATTCACAGGATTATGAATTCTTTCTCCTCTTTTCCCCGCTCCAGCCGCGTCGGTAACGATCATTCCCGGGTCGGTAGCGCCTCCGCGAACGTATATCGAAGTACCCCACCTGCGCGCTCGCGGCACAGCGTTTTTACGAGGCTCTCGCGAGCGTTTATCTCCATTTTCGGTTTCTCTCCTACTCTTTTATCCCGGAATCGGGAGTCGATGGGAAAGCACCGGGAGAGCGCCTCCAAATGGCTAAGCGACTTCCACTTTTTGGCGTCGCTGACCCTCGTCCCCTCCGACTTTCGTCTTCCTCCGCGCTTTTCGATTTTCCCACAAGAATACGAGAGGAAACGGTCTTCTTCTTGTGTCTTCAGTCGCGGCTGATTGCCCGCTTTCGTTTCCGTACTTTTGCGCGTCTACCGCGCGCTGTTGCGAAGGATAATTAAGGTCTGGAACACGTGGAAGTGACGATGACGTTAAAACTTTTGTCTTCGCAGCGTCATTAATGTTACCTCTAATTGCCTGTTTATTAGTTTCGAATCTACATTACAATTGTTTAGTAAAAAGTGAATTCTCACACACCGGTATATCTCCGTATAAACCATAATACAACTGCATGGGGAAGAAAATTTGATTGAATTTATTTGATAATAAATAAATCAAATGCGTTTTGCTTGAAGAAGATAAAAGTTTTCGTGTTTTTATAAACCAAATTTGGCTCTTGTAATCAGAAATTCCATTTTCCCCGACTGAAACGCATTTGTTTATTGTCAGGTAAATTCAACCAAACCTTTTTTCCGTGTGACGTACGTTACGTAGAAGTTTCACAGAACTTTTTTTTACGACCGACATCTGCAACAAATGTCTACGGAGGAAAAACTCAACCCCTAATAATCCGACGACGTGCGAGAATACTTGTTGTTGCTTCAACGTATTTGCGCACAACCACATTCGATCATTACATACAACTACATACGACCACGCACCCAATATACCTAGGTAAAAGTTGTACAAATCTGCGATCGGTTAACGGACGGATGTTCGAAAAACGTGCTTTGAAAAAGCTGCAGCATTTCCGAGAATGTACGAGAGGTCTTGTCGCGCGCACGCCCGACATACGCCGGGCATCGTAAATCCCCCTTCGGAGTAGCGCGGCGTATCGAAATAATTATAAAAAAATCGCGCGGGCCAATCGCGGCGCGTAAGCCCGTTTTCTCGAATCAGCGAATCGGTTCCGTGCCATTATCCAGCAACCCCGAGCGAGACGAAGGAGGTTCGATAAAGGGGTGGCGAGGGGGAGAGAGTCATAAGATACGATGATGGATGCTCTCGAAGGGTTGCCGCCGATCGAAGGGAGAGGGCATTCTAAAAGGGCAAAGGGTTCTCTTCGACCAATCGGCCCGACGCAAGCGACCAGCCCGGCCAATCCCTGGGGCCCAGCCGGGCCGTGTAGTAGGGGGCAGGGTTGGTGCCCCATCCTTAGGGGCACGGTTTCGTTGCGTCATTTTAACATTCGCTCTGTATCGGTTCGCCGGCAAGGACCGGCCGCGGTGACCTTCGGCAAACTTGGGCCCGCTCTTTCGACCGATCGCGGACGGTCGCGGTGTTAATATTAATGAGGTGTTAACGAGCGCGTCTTTAATCGTCCCACGTCAATGTAATTCGTCGTCGCGCTGCTCGATCGGTAAGCCGCACGACTCCCGGTGAAGAAAGTGGAAGGCCGTCGCGTTTTTCTCGCCGAAGCGTCCGGTTTCTTCGAGCGCGTCATGTCCTCCGAGGCGGGATGAAATCGCGCCGACCGATAGACCGACGCAGGATCGCCGAGTGCGATCCTTTTTGCCTTCGCCCGAGAAATCGATTATCGTGCTGGAGCTCGAGAGGCGTCCCGATGTGAGGACGGCGTACGGAGGGGACGGAGTTAAAATGGTCTTCCTGGAGAACTCCAGGATGATCCTCGCGGACATGCGTCTTCATGCCACCAGCACACCGACCACCACCCCCACGCGCTACCATCACCATCAGAAGTATAGAGCGCAAAACAACAATGATTGTACGGCGATAGCGCGATATCATTCTAACGCAAATCCATTATTACTGCTTGACAGGAAATTTGTGCATTTGACCTACACAAAAGTACTTAAAAATTTATTTCTAGGATATAAGGTGTATTTTTCGGAAATATATATTATTCTGTGAAATAAACCTTACATCCTGCAAATACATTTTTAGATACTTCTTTCTCAGTGTATTGAACTCACGTTACATCTGGAAATATTACACCAGAAGAAAAAAGTACTATATTCAAATAAATATTCGTGCTAAAGGATATTGGAATAATTATTTATTATCTTATTTTTGGGTTAAGTAAATATCACTCGAATGTAGCACTTTTTCTCCCATTCGAGTAATATTTATTTTAATCTAAGTGAAATAATTACTCCTTAGCAAATATTTACTTGAATATAGTTCTTTTTTCTTTCAATATATATACACAATTAACTTATCAGTCTGTTATATATTTTGAGAGTGTAAGAAAAGTGGTGTTGTATATTACTTAGACCGGCATAAAATGTAATTTGTATAAATTTATTGATTCTTTAAGAGATACCTTTTACTTGTTAAGATGCGGATTTGCACGGCGATGTCGATGGTCCCGAGCTCAGCGGCGATGACAGGAGTATCGCAAGTGACATCCAAGATGCCACTGAGGAGCACCTCGATAATGACTCCATGGGCTCGGACAGGGAGGCTCTTAACCTGGTGAGTAAATCTTTTTCTAACGTTTTCTTTCCAACTTATTTTCTAACGTATTTTTCTGCTATCTTTATTCTGCATTTTTGATCTAGCTTTTAGTTAGATTTTGCTTTTCTGTAGCTCTCCTCGTGTGATCGTTAACGCAACCGAAATTTCATTCACAAGTCTTGCGTGAAAATCTTAGCCTTGTAATTTGTCATTTTCGTCGCAGCTTGATAAATACGTTACATCTTTACGTGCAAACGCCTACCCGTTCTCTGCACTAAGTTGATGCGTGAACGACAAGGAGGTATCGATAGAGAAGCACTTTATCACGTATGAACCGCGTGTTAATGATCATGAAGAAGCGCGCGCGGAGAGTGGTGAAAAGAGGCGCGGCCTTTACTGCCTCGAGCAGAATTTACGAGTATAATTCGCAAATAATTTGCCACGCCATCTTGCGTGCGCGAAGCTACAGGTGTTTGGATAATACGCGCGAAATTAGTTGTTTTTCTTCGTGTTGAGGCTCTCATATGTCAACAGTTCTATCAATATCGATATATATGTTTGATATAATATGTGTCCTTGAAATTAATAACGTGCGACCAACTCACAAAGTTCACAATCTAACCGAACAATCTAACAAACATTCACAATCTAACAAATAATTACATAACGTTGCCGTCAATGTCAAGTTAAAAAAAAATATATGTCCTAAGAATCTCGTGTTGCATCAATATCTTGTTTATTTTATTAGATGTTAACATAAAATCGTCACAAGTATTAGATTTATCACATGCAGTGCCTTTGAGTAAAACAAAATTATATAATCGAACATTTGATCTCCGATAAAAGGAAGAATATTTTAATTTAGAAATGCTTTTAGCTCCCCATTTATGAAATAACTCTCCGCAACATTTTTACGAGATTCTTTTCCAATCGATCGACAGCACGTTATATCTGCACGTTGTCATTAATAATCAAATGTATTCTTGCATTTGACTCGTCAATAACACATGACGCAAGACGGGTTTCTTCAGTGACTTAATTTCAATGGTATTTCTCCACTTATTTTGACGAAAGCGTGCTTTGTCATGTCACCTATTGTGCCTGCGCTGCTTGTGCGCGTTACTTAAATATATCAACGGTACCAATCCCATTTGCGAGCGTAATATCCGGCATGCTTTCTATCGGGAGACGAACGTCTGCCCGAGCGATGCGGCCGTGTCTTCGATTTTTTTCTTACGGGACGCTCTTGACGGGCATAAAAAGAGCTCGCGCGATCAATATTTGACAAATAAATAAAGGAAGCCACTAGCAGAGATGGACAACAGGAGAGAAGGGGAAAGAGAACGAGACGTAGGGGGAGTAGGTTTTATAAAACACAAAGGATGGACCGTATATAGTGACCAATATCCTGACCTGGCCGAATGTAAACACGGCTTTGTTCGACGACGAATTTACTCTGTAATATTAGGGAGGGTGGCTCTCTCTCCTCGCATGGTCCGCCTGATTCTTCGTGTTCCTGGTCCCACGTTAAAGCGTGAAATCTCGTAGCCTACCATTTCGGGGGAGCTGGAGACTGCCATGTGATAATTTCGGACGATAAAATTTTCGGTCGTACACAACACACGAGAATCGTCGGCATGCGCTCAGTGAATAAAACAATAGCACACTGCGACATTTAACTTTGCCGATTGATAGGACGATTATTAATACCAGAATAACGCTCGCGACACGACTGATTTAAATTCACTACTGAAGCTGTTCCTATTCGAGCAATGATCGCGGAATTCATAAGTTCGGCCATAAATATGTAGATAGAGAAAGAGAGGTCACTCATTGGTTATATCTATATCCTGAAAGCGATTGGAAACACATCGTGTCATTTTCTCATCTTACTACAGTTGTACACGGCGGAATATGTGAATAGCGTCCTACGGTTCAATATAAACAGTAACGATCATTAGATCGATCACTAGAGCGTAGTAATTCAGCGCCATTCGAAGCAAGTGTCTCCTTATCTCGAATGTACAATGTTTCATTTAAGTATTCCATATATTTTATGCTACAGGTCGTGGAAAGCGATTCAGTGAGTGCGAAATATATGCAATACGAGTATTGAGAATAGAAAATTCGATTTTTGAAAGAATCGCTAGAATTACGTCTCGAAATCATTCGGTGATTAGTCGTGTGGTAAAGATTTTTGAGAGCCGGTGTACAACATGGCTAGAAAAAAAAAATTTCTACTGAAATATCTGGAAGCAATACGGAACTACGACGCAACGTTGATAAAAACACTGAAAGTAATTCAGTCAATATCAGCAAAAGGAGAGTCAAAGAACAATGCAAGTATCTGCAACGTGAAAAAAATCAAATGTGTCATTTGTGTGTATATAATATGATATGTTACATTATAAAATATTGCAAACGCAGGAAGTGGAGAAATATATTTGATTAAAATGAAGAAAAAAGAACGTTAATCTATGAAATGTGCTGTTCGTCGCGGAGTGTATCATTTTGTGAAGACGATTCATTATGCGATTTTGGTTTATTATTGTAATTACTGAAATATATTTTTCTGAAGTTATAAACTTTTCAAATTGGCTGAAAATGTATACATCTAAGAAGAACTTTGTGCAACAATATCGATACATTCCCGCAACGATTTCGCTATACGTGTTCAGTTAAATTCGATACGTAAGCTACTGAGACTTTTTAACACACAAAGATCGTAACCCAAATTATATTAAACATAATGTAATAGAAATTTGACGTTATTCCTCCAGGTCACGGATGTATCGCATCGAAACAGCAGTAGCGGTACCAGTGGCAGCGCGTCCTCGCCGAGTTCCGGAGTCAGTAGCCAGCTGACCGGCAGTCACCAGCAACAACAACAGCAGCATACGTCTAATCAACAGAACAACAACAATCCGCAGGCCACGTTGGCCGCGCAATTAGTTAGTCAACAATTGCTAATGCATGGTTCCCTCGGGGCATTGGGACCGCAGGAGATCCAAGCGCTCGCCTCGACGATACAGCAGCAGCAGCAGTCGTTGCAGCAACAATTGCAACAATTTGCCATGTTCCAGGCCAATCCAGCTGCGGCGGGGCAGCTCCCGGCGCAGGCACAGTTCTTCCTGCAGAACCAGGTGGGTACATGAATTCTACTTCTTGTCCTACGTAAGAAACGAGTCCTGGGAATGACGCTGAAAACAACATTATTGCAATGACAATGTTAATTTAACATACGGATATGTTAAAAAATTAACACAGACATTTTAAGAAGGACCGATTTTAACACAAATACTTAATAGCTTTGAAATATTGTGATGAAGACCCATAAATATCAAATTGAACATTGATTTCCACACGATTTCGACTTGACTTCGATCGAATTTTTCATCGACATGTGAAAACCCAGGTCGATTAGTCTCGAAGCGAAAACACGTCCGTCCGGTATCCCCGATTTTCGTGTTACTGTCCTACCGACGCTCCCTCTCTCTCTCTCTCTCTAACTACTCCGCCGAATTACGTACCTGCTCGACGCAAATTGCTGATTCGTGCCGTCGCGATTTCGTCGGAGGAATCGGGACGGATCGGCGCGCGGACCCAAAGCGGCGACGTTCGGTCGGCATTATCTGATCGGGCACAGGGCGAGAGCGGACGTCTTATTCTTCGCGGACGGCACTCTCGCGATCAACGTCGAGATAGCCGTCTGGCGACGGCACAAAGGAGACCGGGGTGCTGCCTCCTCGTTTAGGCTCGCCCTCGCCGATGCTACGCTCGCACGCGGCCAGCACAAACTTGCAACCGCATCACGGCCGAATTTAACGCGCTCCATTATGCTGCATTATGCATATGCCACGGAATGGTCGCGTAGATGACAAGATCCTCCATTCTAAATTTTGACAGATTTTCAATTAAAAAATCACTTTAGAAAGTAATAATAATTCTTTACATAGAAATAACAATCATTAAAGATCTTATTTAAAACAAAACTAATAACATTTTTATTTCTCATTTCTTTTTCTCAATTTAGGAACAAAAAACAAATTAGGAAGAAATTACGAGGAGATCAATATTGTTTTGGAAATGATCTGTTTAAACCCTAAAATACGATATATAGATAATCTATTATTTGGAAAGCAAAAGTATTATATACTGATTGTTTCAAAGTTTTAGACAAGTCTAATTTGTGCATCTTTCATACAATGGTAGTCTTATTGTCGGGTAATTTTATTGTGCGTTCTTCTATAGAGAAAACAACGATCTCGCGCTCTCGGATGCGGGTTATTTTTAATTTTGTAATGAACGAAAACTTAGTCCGTAACTAACAGATATATGGAGATGCAAGACGGATGCTAGTTATTTTAGTAGTATTTTCTAGAAAATGCATTTTAGTGTTTGATATCTGTCATGTGCGTAATCACTGTAAAGTTAAAGCTTTCGGGAACACTCATCGAACTAGTCTCGATGTGATTTTCGGTCGAGTATACTTATACAGTCATCTATTCTACCGCATTCTCATCGTCGCTTGTCTCCCTGACGGAAAAGAGCATAATTAGTTGCAAATGTGATAGACGAGAAAATCTGGGTTACAAGATTCAACTTGAAAAGATGGGAAAGACGGAGCTGAGGAATCGGAACTTTGAAATATTCAAATCTGATGTCACCAAAGTTACAATGCATTGTCCTTCGATGCATTCTTTTTTCTCAGAAAATACTATTATGACGCAGACAATAGAAATAGGAATTTTAAGAATACATTCGAAATGAATAACGGGCTCCCGAGTGTATCCGGAAAAACGCATACAAAGAGATTTTCCGATCCTCCTCGATGGATATCACGTTCCGAGCGTGTTTTAAAATGCGCCCGACGATCGCCGACACAGGGAAGCGACATATTTATCACGTTTCGCAGCATGCATTCCTCCGATCAAAGGAGCGTTCCACGATTTTCTCGCTATTTGTTCGCCGCCGGATCCTTCGGATCGGCTGAGGGAGGAATCGATCCACGATATCCGGGGATACGTTGAAAAACGACCCTCCTTCCTGAGATGCGCCTTCGCCTGCTCTCTCAGTCGCACGACCTCTCTCCTCGTACGATCTGAATGGACGAGGATCTGCGTTTACGAAAAAATCCCCATAGAATCCATCGCGAGAGACGTGCGCGTGCAACTATAGTCTCCGGGAAAAACCAACAAAACGACTTCGAGCTTTAGCGCATTTAATGGGCGTCCGCGTTCGTCCCGTGTGCGTTGTGTGTATTTATTGTGCGCGCACACATATCACACACACGGCCTCTAGATCTCCCCGGCCTATCGGGAGGTACCGTACGACGCCACAAGGTGGGTCCAGGTCTCTTCGGCACCTTGCCACAGGGTGCCTTTGTTACCTCACACGTGGCCAGGATGTTTCCTTTTTTTTCACCCCGCTCTCCTTCCCTTGCAGAACCGCGGGAGGATTCTCTCTGAGCTCCTCTCTCTTTCTTTTTTTTTTATTCGCGCTGAGCATTAAGAGGGGCACACGCGACCTTCTTCACTCGGGAGAAACCCTTCCGCCGAGTACAACCTGCCCCCTCAACCCCTTTCGCGGGCGTTACGTGTGCGCGCCACGTGAGGGCCTTTGTGGCTTATCTGCCGCAACAGACGTTCAGTTTCTTCCTTCGGAGATCACCCTTTGCGGGCTCTTTGTATCTTGCTTTCGATCACCATGACAGAGATATATGATAGCGTCTTTTACAATCTTTCGCCTCTCTTAGATATAAATAATTGTGATATAATTTGGGTAATTGTAGTATCTTATAATTTCAGTTGAACGGCTAGCAGGGCTAAATGAGGTGTTTTTGTAATTTATTTTCGAAATCTCTCCTTGTCCTTGCTATTTGGTATCATGGCGATTTTCAAAATATTAGACTAAATTTATACGTAATGTTGGATCACGCTGTTAACATTGTTGACTAATTTGGACAAATCCACACTGAAAAGTGCTACCGTTCAAGTAATATATTTGCCAAGTAAAATGTTCCAAATATATAATAAAATGGTTACTTTAATACTCCTTTGAAAATATTTACTAGAAGTAGAAATATAATTATATATAATAATGTGTCTACAGTCTAAATGTCTATTTATATAACTGAAATAACATGATATTTCTCATATAAATATTTATTTGTATATGTTAAAAGAATTGCGACAAGTATTAAATTTATAATATTGAGAATATCAGAATTTATGTGTAGAAAATATTTACTAGACAGAAAAATTTAAATTTAAAACCACTTATACTTCTGCAGTTGAAGAGAAGTATTACATAATTATAGTAAATACTCTCTTAAATTTAGAACCATTTTATACTTACATTCAATAATTCACTTATAAATTAAAGTATTACTGCGTTTAAATATTTACTATAAGCCATTATTTGATAATAGGCTGAAAAACAGGTAATTATGTTTGCTTCATTCTATTTCGCACATTTTCTGTGGAATAAAATAAGTATTTTACGTATTGCATGTTGTTCACTAGCATTTTACTCGAGTTTTGTAAATAATAAATAAAAAATTAACGTGTGCACTTTACCGATTATTACTGTTTTTTTTTTACATTGTCTAGTATTTCTGCAAACCTTTATAAATCGTCGTCTCATTTGCTGAACACTATAAGAATACCGGCTTGGATTAGTTGGATGGATACCTTAGAATCGTAGACGATAAACCTGTCGCGTTCGATCCCGCACGTGGCTCAACTCGAGGCGTTTCCGTAGGGTACCTTCGCGGCCACAATGCGTATAAACTAGCTGCTCGCATGTCGGCGACACGCGTCCAACCCCGAACCCTTTCCGATCCGGGATATCGCGCCCGGCGCGAACCCCTCATTCTCATAATCGAGCGTCATGGTTAAGGAAAGGGTGAAGATAATCGATCGTATAGATTCAACCCTTGGAATTATACTTCTCATACCTGTGCATACACAAGTCCGACACGTGCCGCGCGATTTATCGCTCCGTAGAACTGATTGTGAGACATCCATCTTCATTCGGCACTGACAGGTGTAAAATTCAGCGTCTGACGCCCAATTGCGTTTCTCTGCAGATTTTGCATCCCTTAACCGTAGAAATGAGAATCAATTGTAATTCAAATGAGTTTTTTGTAAGCGCCGCCGAGGCGCGGCGCTTTTAAAATAATTACCACATAAGGTGAAATTTCGATTGTGAATAGAGTTGAAAGATAGATGACCATTACGTTAACCTTCACCAATGGTCGTCAACGTCTTGCAGGGGCTGTTGCAGAGCGGTGGCTACCCAACAAGATCGAGTCATCCGCGCTCACAGTCCATGCAGGTACGATTTAGGGCAGAGTAGCGTCCGAACATGGTCGATCATGAATCATGCAATGCATTCTTTAAAACAAAGGAATCCCTTAAGAGCGATTGAAAACTTCCAATCACCGTTATTGATGATATGATTCGTTCGACCAATCACCGTGTCCATCATGATTTTATGATTTTTCCGAAACTTATCATTTGATATAATTAATTCAAGCGCATTCTCATTTCTCTTGGAACAAAATATATGATTTTAAAGATGTGAATTTTTCTATTAGGTGCAACAAGCGGTAGCACAGGCGGCCCAGCAGTTACAAGCGCTACAGAAGCAGCAGGCTCTTCAAAGTAGCGGCAGTTTGGTCGGGCGAAGCTTGGCGCAGCAAAGAACACCGCCACCGTCCGGTACCCCGCCGGCGGTGAAAGCTCCACCAACTAGATTGGATCCTTCTCCGGATGAGACAACGGATCTCGAAGAGCTGGAACAGTTCGCTAAAACGTTCAAACAGAGGCGGATCAAGCTCGGTTTCACTCAGGGAGATGTAGGACTCGCTATGGGAAAACTCTACGGCAATGATTTTTCCCAAACTACCATCTCCAGGTGATTATATCTCGTGAATCTAAATTGCTACTTAATTCGAACGAATATTTCAACCATCTCTAGACTTGTGTGTTATTTTAATTATTACATACACACATCTGTAATAGTAATAGAAAAGAGAATAACAAATAAATATATTCAGGCGCATTACTTTTAATTTAAAGGGATGCCTCATTTGAAATCTTTATCAATGAAAATGATTTAACGATAGAATATTGATTTTTTTGCCAAGTTTACGTCTTATTGGTTGCACAGAATTATATATATATATATATATGTATATGTATGTGTGTGTATGTTAAACGTTATGCCAAGTACAAAAACTGAAAATAAAATTATTTGAAAAAAAGATCGGTAAAAAAGTGATAAAAAGCATAAATTAAAAAAGAAATATTAATAGGAAAATAATTAACGGGAATAAAAAATGTTTAAGTTATTACTTATCAAACTTGCCGTCGACTTTGACATCCCCTTAATCGAGCAACATTGCCATAATTGTAAATTTAGTAATTCAACAATTTCACGAAATTTCACTGATAAGATGTGGATGGCTCTCTGCATTCCAGGTTTGAGGCGTTGAATCTTTCTTTCAAGAACATGTGCAAATTGAAGCCACTGCTGCAAAAGTGGTTGGAGGACGCCGATAATTCCCTGAACAATCCCAATTCTCTGTCGAATCCACTTACGACGCCGGAAGCGATTGGCAGGCGGCGGAAGAAAAGGACGTCGATAGAAACGAGCGTGAGAGTGGCGTTGGAAAAATCCTTTATCCAAAATCCGAAGCCCACCTCCGAGGAAATAACTATACTGGCGGACAGCCTCGCGATGGAGAAGGAGGTGGTTCGCGTTTGGTTCTGCAATCGGTAAGCACTGAAGCTATATGCACATTTCCGGGACATTTCTTTCCTGCAGTAGCTTTCGTGCTTGATACCCTAACGAGTTCAACGTAGCATCGTCATTCTCACCGTGGTCTCTCGTTGTCTTCAAATAACACATCGACTACGTTTCAGGAGGCAGAAGGAGAAGAGAATCAATCCTCCGACAGCAGCAATGGGAAGTCCAACTCTGGCGTCGCCCGCGCCCTCAGTGTTCGCTTCTCTCGCTGGGTCCATGTCCGGCTCACCTCTCGCCCTCACGACACATTCTTCCGGTCACTCGCATCCTCACCAGGCACCCTTGGGCTCGCCGTTGCCCTTGGCTCTGGTGGCTTCAGGTGGAAATTACCATCCATTGGGCGGCAAGTCTCACGAGTGACACCAGCAAGCGACCCATCAAGGGGACGTTCTCTATCACCAGCAGCACCATCACCAGCAACAACAGCAGCAGCACCATCACCATCACCATCACCACCATCATCAGCAACAACAACGACGCTTGTGCAATCTACCGGAGTTCTATCATTAGCCAATGATCCGATCTCGCGAAGCAGTTAATCGAAATAACACGTGGCATGTTAGTTTGAAGTAATGTACTTCAAAAAGAAAAAAGAGATCACGATCATCGGTAGTGGATGGAATCTGGTACACTGGACGTGTAGCACAAGCAATGAGGGATTCTTGTCGACTGCGACGTTACTGCGACCCGTTCAATGCATGACGATATAGGACGATATATATCAAGGTGCCGTCTTGCAAACTAAAATAATACGAGAAAGGGGAGTTAGACATAGAGATAATCGATTTTACGGGAAGAAGGGAGAGTGAAGGACGAGAGAGAATATAAGTGCATCATCATTAAATTATTTGAACATGGTATAACTTGTACCGAATCTACCGAAGAGTATACGAAGACACGCTGCGTTTTGAAGAGAAAACGAGTGGTACTGAGATGTAATTCTAGTGTAACGAAAACAAAATCTTTTTCCTAATAACAGATTCTTGGATTGGCGACTATTAGTGATTGCTTATTGACGGGACAGTCGTGGCACACGTCAGTTATGAGGAAAATGTCGGTAATATTATTTCTGTTGCAAGAAGTTCTTATAAGTCAACGTCCGACTTAAATCGGACCCTTCGATAAATCTTACACCTTTCCTTTGATTGCAACGGTGTTCGTTAAATTATGTCAAGGTAAGCTACATACTTTTACGAACATCTTTCTAATAACAGAGAGAAAACACAATTTCATATAATTTCACAAAATTATCTTGTGATATTATATAGAATTTTTTCTTTGCAACATCATGTAGAATCTTTTCCTTGAAGCATTTTTGTTTTTTACATTTCGTTATAATTTTTGTATAAAACTGCTTTAATATGTTTTTGTTTTGTTTTGAAGGTGATAACTGACGATCCATGTTTACGATCGTCAATTAGCTCCTTTTTTAACAATTTTGTTTGACTAGATCATTTTTGATTGGAAACGTTCATTTGTAAAAGTATATCCACAATAAATTCTAAAAGTTCTTGAAGTTGCGTACACTTAATATCGCAACATTTAATTGTAAATTATTTATCGCTCAAGAAGCACATTGAAAGCCACGTTACTTTTTCTTATCCAATAAACAATAATATTATTTAGAAAATAAGAACCGGCCTTAGCCATCGCTCAGCAACCGGTATTCGATATATAACGATGAGAACTTCACAAAAAAACACGATTAAAGTCAGTTTTCCCTGCTTGATTTCAATGCGTTTCTTCTCAGCACCACTTCTTGCGCTCAATCTTCAAGAACAATATTTTACTTCGTAAAATTACGACGAATGAAGTAGCATTTGATTTTGATGACGATCGAAGCCACGCTGAACCGCGTGAAAAAGAAAAAGAAATACGAACATGTGTCGCGCGTTTTCTTTTCTCGTCCACTAATTTTCGAAAATATCTTCTTCGGCGGCGCCCTTGGCGTCTCCGTGGTGAGCAGGGTTACGGCAATGCATCTCAACGGCAAAATGCGGCGAGGTCCGACAATACAATTGTACATATATACACGTAGGCGTGTCTGTCACATTATCGTACATATCCGTGTCACAGGGCTGTATATACGTGAGTTTAACACCACCGAGGACTGTCGAGAATGCGAGGCTGCTCTGGTACCTTACTGTTGAGTGAGTCGCGTGGTGTCCCTTTACACCGTAGTGCCGAGCTCTACGAATCACGATTGATACGCGCGACGTCATAATTCATGCCAAAGTATATTGTTGTGAGGTACAATAAGTAAGTATTATATATAGATGTGTGTATATTCGAGGACGGTGGTATCTCGTAGACATTTCGAAGGCGCAACGTGACGCAACGCCGCCGGCAAGAGCACTCGCATTCTTGATGAGAATCTTTCCCGGCAGTCGCGAGTGTTAGTTAATAATATTGTAGATAACGAGCCAACGAGGTAATACGTAACATGTATATACGGCATACGCGCACTACCTGCGAATATACGCTATACATATGTATATAGCGTACGTACAATATCTGTATGTATATCTGTGCATCGAGATTGATGAATCTAGGATTTCCCGAAGTTCACGACAAATTTTTAGGAGAAAACGCCCCTTCCCTTTTATAAATTGCCTCCCTTTTATAAACTGCAGACAGCGTGCAAGTGATGTATTTTAATCGAAAATAAATTTGGGAATGATATATCGCTGTGTGTGTGAACATTTCTTTTCGCGCGTACACGTGTGGTGTAGAACTCTCGCTGCGCTCCGCTGTGACCGTCAATTCACGCTCGCTGGGATCGGTCACAGCGGAGACATCTCGGTGATTAACTAAGGGCTATGATATAGGAGCAAGGAAACGAACGTGATATATATATATATATATATATACACACATCGATCGATATATGCTTATTCCCTAAGAGCCATGCGTGTATAGATTTCATTATCAACGTGCAGAATTTGCGTGAATGTATACATATAGCGACTATATTGCAATATCACATAAGTACCGACTGTACCATCGCATACACGCGAACATGTACGTGCATCAGCGTATGTATATATATATACGCTGCGTATATATATATACACATATAGATATATACATAAATGTATAAACGGACATTGTACATATTAGGTATACTGCAACGGATCCGTCGTGTCGGATCGTTAAAAAATAACAACGTTTATTATTATCACGGTCGTCATCGTCACCGTCATCATCATCATCATCGTCATTATCATTATCATTATTATCATCATCGTCGTCGTCGTCATCGTCGTTATCATTATCATCAATATTATAATTGTCACTATGTAGTCACGAAACATGCTACTGTTGCTAATTAACGTCGCTCGTCGTGCACATCACCGTGAGATTTCTTTGCGCGTATGCGGGCGCGAACCGCCGCTGATTACTTTCGTACATCTGCGCGCGTGATTACAACGAGGCGAGCTGCCGTTACACGGATTGCTGCAGGTCCAGCAGTTTGCACAATGCTTCGACTGTACGGCTTAATTTCAGGTGCATCCGGTGTTGCATATTTCTGTTGCACATTCTGTGATTTATATCGTACCATTATTATGTTCCTTCCGAAGTAAACGTTGTTTTGTTTCTTTTAGAAATCCGCCCGTCGAAAGTTACGGCGATCGATGCAAACGTATGCGGACAGGAATTACGTTCGTGCAAATTGTCGGATCGCACGCGGCATATCTTTCCTTCCCATTTCTCATTTCGCCCTCATTTCACTTCGACCCTTAAGCTCCCAGAGTCGTGGACCAAGTTGTAGCGAAGATGCCGACGAGCACGCGCGCAAACAGAAGCGGATTATATTAAGATAAGGGGAGAAGCGCGAATAAAAAGAGTTCCTAGGGCCGCGTATTCGTTAAGTGCGCGGACGACGATGACGAGTGAAGTGAAAGAGAGAAAGAGAGAGAGAGAGAGAGAGAACAGAAAGACAGAGTGTTCGGAGGAGAATCGGAAAGCAAAGGTTTTAAAACAGGCATGAAGAGTACCGTGAGGACGGGTGGGAGGCTTTCGACTTCTGTTTGTCCATCTCAGAGATGTTTGTAGATAATTAAGTATTAATTACGTAGAGAGAAACACGGCCCCCACCTCTCTCCTCGCATCTACAGCATCGTTGACGGTTGATTTGATTACTCGCTCGTTAAATTGGCGCAATAGGCAAATGAACAGAAGCATTATTTGTAGTGATAGTTATTATTAGTTATTATAATTAATAATTATTATTAATTATTATTATCATTATTAATTATTATTATTATTATTATTATTATTTCATTATATTTTAACTTTTATTATTTGAAAATAAAAATCCTAGAAAAACTTCGGTTTCCGTCGGTATTATTTTTTGTTTGATTTTTTACAATCCTTCCCTCCTACGTTCTTCCTTCAGACCCTAATTTCCGTTTGAATTTTGGTGAGAAGCCGATCGATACATCAATGGAATACTTATCTTTTAACTTTTGAGGGTTGCCATTCTTTATCGTTGCGACCGTAGCGTTGTGCTGGAAAAAAAAAAAGTATGTTTCTCCTACCGTCCCGTCACCTTCATATTCTGTATATACTATTTGTATATACACACACGTACACACGATTCAGTAGCGAATAAATAATACTCGATGCGCTATTTACGTCGGTAAGAGCCAATTTACGATCGGATGAAATAAGAGGCGGAATCAGAGATGCAGCGCAATGGAGCAAGTTTTCATTCTGAATTAGAATTCAATTTGCCGTTAGTTGTTAACTCTGAATTAATGAGATTTGTTTGCACGACTGTTTTCACGAAATATTCGAAGCAAGATAATTTGTGGTCATCTTTTACAAATCTACTTATCAAATTTGGAAGATGCTTTTCGATTCTTTGCTTTTTATCTCTATCTGCGTCGTAATTGGCTTAAGGCGGTCCTAGATGTTCGGTATTTAGGAAGAAATGCAGCTACAAAGCTCCGGGTATACCAGTTAGTCGACTACTCGTAGGAGAGTTTGCATTCTCGACGTAAGACGTTATTGAATACTTGAAATTAGGAGAGCTCTAAGCTTCAATTCAAGAAAATTTTGCCGAAACTCGCGAGTAAATCTATATATTTTCAATAATTTTGAAAATTTTTACTCCTTGTGTACATTAATTTTTTGTACATGTAAAACAGAAAACTATTATACTCACAAATGTCCGGAGATTGATATCGTGCTCAGATATTTTATGATTATTTATAATTAATTGCCCACGGATAATTTTGTTTAATACATTATCTTCATTAAGAAATATATAGAGGACTGCGATCTGTCATGATTTTGAAATTTTGCATTTTCGTAATTTAAAGTATCCAATGCAAAACGTCTTCGTGGAGAATTATAGAATTACCATAGACTTTACTAACGTTCGATGTGTAACACGTTATCACGAGGCGCATAACATAGTCGTGTAAGGGTAATACGCGAAGAGCACGGTATGACAGTTCTTAAAAAAAAAACTTCGTGACGAACGGAAACTTCCGTTCGAATGAGAACGAAAAATCGTTTGACTATTTTGTACTAAGAATTATCAACCGCATCGAGCGATCGCGAACGGTGTCGCATTCGTGAGGTTTTTTCGTCGGCAAACTGTAATAATTAGACAAATTTCTTGCTAATGAGTGTCTGCGCCTGCCGCTCTTCATCCTTTGATGAGAAGGCGATTTTTGAGGGAGAGAACGAGAAAGAAAGATAGTGCGATTGAGAGGGAGAAAAAGAGAGAAAGAAAGCGAAAAGACGAGAGCGAGAATAATATGCCGACGGTGTATAAATAAAGTCATATCAATCGTAAATAGTTCGTGTTATCTAGATATACTACGATTATTACGATTATTATTTATCACAGTATAATTAGCGAAAGATATTGTAATTGTATAATAAACTGGGTAATAGATAATCCCTATTGTCACCGATGCTTTTAATAATTTCGATGCTCAACGGATAAGTTTTGTGACGAAAAACCGCAATTTTTAATATTACATTGTATTGGTTCTTGCAATTTTGTTTTATCTAGATGAATTTTGAGACAAAATTTAATAATGTCAATATAAATATTATTTGACGTTAATATACTATTATTATCATGCTATGATTTTTCGACGATCTATCTAAAAAAATAAGTACAATTTTTCCTGTTCATATTTTCATTTTTTAGTAATATAATTCATCGTTTAGTTAGAAGGACTTTTACTTTTTGTTGGTAAATGAAAAAGTGAAAGTTTATTCGACGAACAATAGTTTGATTATGCTATCGATAACTTACCGATAATAAATATATCAGAAATTAACTTATCTACAGTCGATAAGGGATGAGTTTGCTGTTTAGATTTATATTTAAATATTCTTTGTGCAAAATAATAAGAAAAAGAAAAAATTGAAAAATAATTATTGAAATTTTTAATCGAATGTACAAGACGATATATCAAAGGGCATTTTATTTTCAGATAGTACGTTATTATGAATTATGGACATGGAGGCGCTTCAAAATTAAATAACAGCTTGATCGTGGCCGCTCTCAGACATTTCTCTGATCATAGATGTAGCACGGACACGCACCAAATGGAGACTTTATCGACAATATCGGAAAATGGGTACAGCTAAATAGTTCCATCCTAAAAGAGGGCGTGATGCAAACAAACATGCGAAGCCGTTCTAAGTTGTAAAGACAAAACGTGATTTGTTCTGAATTTTCGTTTCATACAGTTTATTTTCTCTAATACGACGATGGGTCGTTCAAAACGTAAATTACGTACGATCGGGCCGGTCAGTAATGCATGGGCGATAAAAATACCGCAATTCAAGAAGGAGGACAATCCTCACCGCCTGCTGGAAGAGAGCTCGTTCGCGACCCTGTTTCCCAAGTACCGGGAGCAGTACCTAAAGGAACACTGGCCGTTGATTCAGAAAGTGCTGGAAGAGCACGCTATCACGGCTGAGCTTGATCTCGTGGAAGGTAGCATGACGGTGAAAACTACTAGGAAAACGTGGGATCCTTACATCATCGTCAAGGCACGCGACATGATCAAGCTTCTTTCACGATCGGTTCCTTTCGAGCAAGCGGCAAGAGTTCTACAGGATAATATTGCTGCTGACATCATAAAGATATCCTCTTTAGTCAGGAACAAGGAAAAGTTTGTCAAGAGGAGGCAAAGACTCATCGGACCAAATGGATGTACCTTGAAGTCTATTGAGCTACTCACCAACTGTTACGTCTTGGTCCAGGGTCAGACTGTAGCAGCGTTGGGGCCTCACAAAGGTTTGCAACAAGTAAGGCGAATCGCGGAAGATACTATGAAGAATATCCATCCTATTTATAATATCAAGGCATTAATGATCAAACGAGAACTTGCCAAGGACCCAAAATTGAAGAATGAAAATTGGGAGCGATTTCTACCTAAATTCAACAGTAAGAATATAAGCAAACGTAAGCAACCGCTGAAGAAGAAGGAGAAGAAACTGTACACTCCGTTCCCACCGCCTCAGCAAGAGAGCAAACTTGACAAGCAGATGGCAACTGGCGAGTACTTCTTGAATGAGGAACAGAAGAGGGCAAAGAAAAAGAAGGAACAAGATGCCAAGCATGAGGAGGCAACCAAGAGAAGACAGGAGTGTAGAGCTCAGGCGTTTATTCCACCTGAAGAGAAACCTGTTGAAAGTAGCACTACAAAAACTGATATAGACATTGAAGAAATAAAAAAGAAAGTTGAAAAAGGGTTAAAGAAACGTAAAACATAACAATGTCATAATATATGTGAGCGATTGAATTTTATTATATAAATAAAAACTTTTATAGAGTGTAATGCTTTGTGACGCATAAATATACATCTATTTATGATAGTTTTGTGTTCAATATTGCATGGACAACAGAATTGATAAAGCGCTCTAGCCAGCAAGGAGACATCCAGATTCGACTTTGAATCAAGACAATATTTTTTACTATAATATTATTATTTCTGATAGAAAAGAATAAGTTGATAATAACATAGAAATTAAAAAATTATTAGGAAAAATATGATCCAAAATTCCTTGATATTCAAAAACATAGTGGAATAATGAAGAAACAGAAAGTAAAAACAACATACAAATTTTAATTATAAGCAAAATCATTTCAACATAATCACATATACGTATTTAATTTTGTAGCTTTGGAACCTTTTATTAATGGTCAAAAATGATAAAGTTCAACATAGAAAGCACATTGTATTATTGAAATTGTATATTATGTAGTCAAATTTTTATGAGAGACATAAGTAAAAATGTGAAATCACGTACAGTCCAAGGAAAATTTTTCAAAAATTCAGTTTAATTAAAAATTAAACTAATAATTTAGAATTGAAAAGCCGGTTAATTAGGTGTAATTGTATACGCAAAATCCATGAAACATTTTGTCGTGCGTGATCGTCAATATCCTTCAGAAAACGTTTAAATGCATCATCACTCATATTCGGCCATTATTAATGATATGTACCGCTTATTTTGTTGGTAGAATTCCGCAATGATCGTATGGTTCCACAAGCATTATTTTACGGAAATGTCCCGTTATTTTATTAGAAACACTCGTTTTTATAATTACTATAATGTCGCATTCTTAACATGTATAATGTGTATGTATATATTTATATATAATTATTTTACATTTGCAAAATATAGAGCAGAGAAAATTTCAATATTTAGCATTTTGAAGACGAATATACCGATATATATATATATAGAATTTACTGTATATACAATCTTTTAATTATATATTTCTACCTACTAAATATGTTACATAGAATACTTCGGATATTTTAAAAGAATCTTATTGAAACAAAATTCTGCATTTTCGTGAGAATTTTTTCTAAAAGTATATAACGTTGTTTTTATATTTTGTTATTAACCATAATCCTTTCAACTTCTACTTTCGATTCTCTGTTTTTGATGAGGATACTTTACACGACAGCTAAATATATAGAGTCTTCAACATGCTAATGTTTTGCGTGATTCGATGCAATCGCGATTTCAAATTCTATCGCAAATTTACTGCAACTTAAAAGTAGCGGATGCCAAACTGGCGTTGAATCATTTCTCGTGGTTCGAAATCCCTATCGGGCAAAATATCAGATTAACGTATGTATGTGTGACAAGGTTGTAAATGCTCATTCAATATAAAGCATTCTTACCCTATCTGCACCACAATTTCGCTTTCCGAGTACAAATTTTCGTATTATTGGACACATGAATATTAACACCGATTGGTTACCCGCTATATCTTAAAATTAAGATCGAGTCGCCTATTATATTACAATTTTATCGATCTTGGAAGTACGACGCTTCGTTAGCTTATACTTACACTTATGCCACGTGAATACATTTATGTACAGATAGACGAATATGGTATTGTGTGTGGCGATCTCGCTCGCGTCAGAAATGCACGGAAGCGACGGATAAGTATTGACGCTGATAGAGCGGGACAAGCTACTCGAAGTCGTTAGGACGGGAGGGAGATAATCAATATGCATATGTTTATTTACAACGCGGCGAAATTTAGCCAAGTATCAAGAGATTCTGCACGCTTGCATTTGTGCGTGCGTACGCATGCATCGAGTATCCCGCGTTTTCTAAGCTCTTTTGCTCTTACTCTTACTTACGACCTCTTTGATCAAACTGGGGCAACTTCTTTAACAAGGATGTTGCCGCACCAACTGCAATTACGGGCTGTTTACGCACAGCAATATTTTGTTTCTTGTCTAATATCAAAGGGATTAAACTTGCGAAACTTGAATATCAAACGTAATTCCCAAGGTGTTTGGATATTGAAAGTCAAATATTTCGTTAATTAAGCTTCAAATCACTTCCGAGGTCGGGAATGAAGTCTGCTAGTATCTGAAAACAAAGTTCCCTTATCCACGCGCGCGCTCCTGTAGCGGCGAAATCCTTTAATTCCGATGTTAACTAACTCCGTAATTAGAGCTCCCTTTCAATCTCTCTCGGACTAAAGGAAAGTTGACTCGAAATCCTTCGAAGAATCTGCAGCCGAAAGAAGGCGCGATAATGATATACGTAGGGATACCTCGTGTATATATACTTTACTATCTACGTATATATCGTCAGGCAGGCGGTGTCCTGATTAAAGGAAGAACTTTTTAAAGACCGCCCTCTTTCTTCGCGACTCGTATAAACGAAAATCGGAGATCTTCTTAACAGTTTGATTTCCAAAAGCAGCTCGAGAGATTACTCGTGATGTCGCGTTGCAATCGCATTCGTTTAATTAGAACACGGTCGTGTTGATCAATCCGCGTGATGTATCTACATCGAAATACTTACGACCTATGTAAAATATCAATATCAAAAAAATCTCCTAACGGATGTTTACACATTCTTCTCTCTACAGCAGCTAGCATGGGTGTGTGTGTGTGTGTGTGTGTGTGTATGTGATATATAAGGATGCCGGTGTATTATACAAAAGTGTTCATACGATATTGTTATTCGTCTCGCTTCGGCATTTACGGTACCAGCGCGAAGCGACGGCAGTAAGACATTGTCAGAAAGTATAAGTGTACAAAAGATCGCTTCTGCTATATGTACTGTTATATTAGTCGCACCAACTTCCACTTGGATTCACTTAACACGTGTAGGCGAGTAATGGATACCGCATGATATTGCCGGTTATTTTTACGATTCGATCGATCGAATGTCTGAGATTTCGTTTAATTTATCGTAATTTCAATCTCGAGCGAGAAATAACAATTTCTAACGTATAACTCGTCGACGTGATTAATTTATAATCAATTTATTTTACGCGATTAATGTATAATTGATCACGTCGGCGAAATTAACGTTATTCCTTCCTCAGCATCGAAGAGGAGAAAGATGAAAAACTGGAGAATCGACGCTCGTCTTCAGAATTCTGGATATTTCCTTCACGACGATTCGAATTCTCTGTCAATTTTTTCTAATTCACGGCTGTTTCTGCGAGATTATTACCGAACTACAACATGTTAAGTATACTCATACCAGTTATTTTCCACGCTTTTCGTCTATTCGCACAACCAAGTAAGTATACGATTAGTTACAAAAATAAGTCTCTTTTTCTGCGATTCGTAGCGCGTGTTTTTGATGGAAAAGCGTTTTGTTCGCCGCGGCTCGTCGTTTGATTGTGGAGAAGAGTCTCCGGCGCGTTTTTAGGTCGCGCCGCGTATACACTAAGACCAGATAAAAAGAACATACGCTGCCTGCGTGTGATTTTGGGCCCGACAAAAATAGCGACGCCAATAAGAAGCATCTTGCGTCGTGCCACTCGCGATCGTAAATCGAAAGTTGGCACGAACGTCTTGATTTTTCCCCTTGAATTGGCGATTTTTCCCCTTTTGCGTAGAATCGAAGAACATTTTGCAAAACCCTCGAAATATAGGAGTTCGCATAATTCTTTTTTTCAAATTTAAGTGATTAAATTGTGCGACGCAGAGCGATAATATATCGTAATTACATAATATAAATGCGTATGCAATTTTTTCGTTATCTCGTATGTTTGTTTCTCTTCCCGTGCAAATAGCAAAGAACTTCTCCGCAGTCACTTGCTTAAAAGCGTAATCTCAAACCGGTGTTTGTGATAAAAAAAGAAAACTATGAATTACCTAAAACGCATGAAGTAATGCCGAGTGTAAAAACTTTGGCAAACTTCATTTAAAAATTGCACGTAAATAAATATATGTATACATATGTATATATCTATAAAAAAAAAAAGAACAATGTGAGTCGCCCGATTAGGCGCTCGAGTACGTACCCGTACTAAAAAACATGACTTGATTATCGGCCTGTACTAGATCTGGGTTTATAGTTAAAACAGAAAGAAACCGCGAACTCAGAAAACCGTTGTAAAACCGATCGATTTGATCATATTTTCAATTTTCGGAATATTAATTCGTTTCCTTATCTTACCGAATTTGATCGTAAATAATTGATCATATGAGGCAAAAAGGAAAGTTCGACTCTTGCTTTTGCTCCGTCTTTACTACTCATCCTCCAATGATGCTTTCGTTTTATCAATTTAACCGATATTATTGATATTATCGTTTTACCGATATTATCGTTCAATTTAACCCTTCGAGTTACAATATATCAGCTTCTCATTTCAGTATCTCAAAATTTATGCAAGTCTCTTCAGTAAGCATATACATATATATTTACATTTATATAAATTTTGAGATTCTGCAGGCGATATTGTAAATTGAAGAATTAATCGCATGCACGCAATACTAAAACAAATCTTGTTTAAGTAATACACCGCTGGATGAAATGTGAGAATTCCTCGAGCTTGGTAATTATAAACCGTAAGTGCGTGACTGCTCCATCGTATACGCACTTCAAACACGCTCGACTCTTTAACACCTTGAACTTCGAAAATGAGATGTTCCGTCCGACTGATATTCTCTTCGAGGTTGAAAGTGTTAAGAACGGCTTCCGCCGCAGCAGTATGATTTTTGCTCGTTTAAATCGATCGCACGCTCACCGTCCGATGTGGAATATATATATATATATCATAACACATGAATCTGATTTGAAAGGATAAAAACGCCTTCGCAAACAGCTTCGGTTTGCACCGTCGGATTAGTACGCGGCCTCTGCGTTATCACTCTTCGCGTATTTTATATTACTTTATCATAAATAATTTTACACACTGACTACATCTATGATGAGACTTCACGATCTATCTCGATAAGATTAATCTTCCGTCACTGTAAAAGAAGTATATTACGATGTACTACTGTCTTTTTTAGTGCTTAGAAAAAAGAAACGATCGAAAGCGATATTTTGAGAGGAGAGAAACCGAAGCTTATCGATTATTATCATATACACACCAGGCAGTCTTAATGAAATCCTCTTCTCTCGTCGCGAAATTATCCCGTCTTATGGTACTACTTCCAGCAACATTGTCAGAGAATTCATCGATTTCTTTCGTCTAACGTACAGCCCCATTCAAAGCTCACAGGACATGCTGTATCGGGGACTTGCGAGTCAGCGTGGCGCAAGAAGGACTCTTCACCGATACCATCTGAGAGATGGCGAAGAGCCGTGACAATCGCACGAAGATACACCCGGTCTGCGATGGCAGTCCGGATCGATCGGTCGAGTAGCGCGCGCGAGTCGTTTCCTAATTAAGTAACGCGCTGCTGACCGGTCGACCTTGCCGAGAAGGGGGCGACCGTCGCGCTAAGTGAGAGTTCGCGGGTGAATGGCGTGTTCACCGCAACCATATCAGCTAGTGATTGTGATTGTAGAGATGCCACCTCTGCGTCTCCGCGTTCGAGTCGCACTTCTCCGCGGTGATGCCGCGCTGCGCGTGGTATCTCGAGTCCACGCACACGGGGATCCTCGAGTGGCGTATCAGCCCGCCCTCCAAGTGCCGCCACTTTTGATTCTCGCTGCCGTCGCAGATCTGCATCAGCAGCGTCGTGCCCTTGGCGTACACCGGCAGCGTCAGACAGAGATCGTGGTGCTTGATCAGACCGTCCTTCGTGAGACCCCATTCCTGCGAAACGTATACAGAGTGCGTTAGTCTCTCGACTGATTGTTTTCACATCCAAATGCTCACCTGGTTGCCACCGGTGTCGTGGCACGGATAGAGACCCACGTTCCCGTCGAGCAGGTGACCCATGCTGTCTAAACAAGCGGTGCCTTGCTTCAGAGAGCCTCCCGGACCGCCCTCGCTCGTAGGTATGACTAGTTCCGGGTATACGTTCTTCAGGTACCAGCTGAAGGGCTTGCAGTGCAATCTCCGTTTCAGTTCCATCCTGTCTTGAATGCTGAAACACATCATTATTTACGTGACTCGATTCCATCGCGCGTCAGTCAACAGACGTTTCATCGTTTTTACGTTTAACGAAAGCGAAAAGAAAAGTCGGGCATGAAAAAGATTACGATAAATATTCAAAGCTGATAAATATTCGAAGCAGTATGTTTTAATCCGATACTTGAGTGTCGCGTTTAAGGAGTTTAACTGGAAACGTCGGCGCGTCTTGACTTACTTTCCGTAGGGGATGTTTCGTGCCAGTGGCACGGCGTTATAGTAGAACTGCTTATAGTCGTCCATCCATACTTCGGCAGCGCGTCTCGTGTTTCGAGCAAACACGTTTCCGCTGCCTCCGGGGAACGAGTAAGGATGACGTTTACGAAATACATGGCCCACACGTGAGCAAGGGATAATCTCCAAACTGCCACCGCATTGCCACACGCGGAACGATATTTCTGAAAGAAGGTTACATGCAATGAGCACGAACGTGAGAGAACGAGCATCAGAAGAAAATGCGTGACTGATCTTCTTTAATTTCTTCTCGCGAAACTCGTAATTTCTTATTTTTCCAGGGGTGGCTTTCCTTACGTGCGATATTAGCGAGAGAACGCAAGAGAATATCAATTTTTGCGCAAATCCGCTTTACATTTTAAAGTGTGTACGTCTGTAAAACGGAGTAATTAGAAAAGTGCTCCTTTAATTCAACTTTTTCATCCAGTTATGTTAAGCTGAAATAATGTTAGCGTTTTCCTTCTAAGAAACCCGGCAACTTTTCTTCAGTGCGAAATGGGGTCGGAGTTATTTCTAACTTCACACTACCGACGTATATTGGTTTTCTTGTTATGTTTTTCCACGAAGCTCTTACAAACTACACACAAGACAAGGTAGTTTCTGTCAAATACTTCGTTTTCTCATGTTTGAAACGTGCAATCTTCCAAGGGACGTAGCATCTCTCTTGACAAACTTGGAGGAATGGTCAAACATAATTTCGCGTCTGTAGACGCAAACATGAATCTTAGACCGGAGATCGAAATCAATTTGACGAATGTTGATCAATTTATCAATTTTTTTATTACAAGAAATAAAATTAAATTGAAGAAATTATTTGCACGCAGTGGGAAAAAGTGGAAACTCTCTGTGGACTTTTGAATCGAAAACGTTCCCAAGCATTTATGTTAGCGCAGCTGTCGGACGCAGTGATGAATGAGCTAATATTTACGCCGGTGCGTTCCAATGCTTTTTAAAATTTAATAGGAAGCGTTCATTAAAACTTGTTGAGAAATTATAACTTTCGACTATATTGATCCAATAAAAAGTTTACTTTCCTGCAAAGTACTCATCGTGAGCTGCACGTGCCTCATAAGAAAGTTTTTGTAACGAAGTACATCGACCACGTGCGATACTTTTCATAGCATTTGCAAGTTTCTTAAAGCGAAATAGCTTCCGACGTTATCTTTAGGAAGCGAATAATAATACCGAGGTAAAAACCGCCTTTGAATGAAACAACGAAACGTTCTTGTCACAATTGGCGAATATTCTTATGTTAATACATTGCCATTAAGTCTCGAATTCGTGTATTTTGGAGAAGAAGATAGATAAGACTTTAAAATATCACTCGTTGATATTTACTCGAGAATTCCGGGAACATTTCGGATTAAACAAGGTGTACAAGAGCAAAGTATTTCAAGTTATATTTGTTGGAGGTTTGGATCGTTCCTCCGAGCGCTTTGTACGGAGGTAAAATTGTATCGTCCTACCGAGGTTTTCACCGCCCCAAACGTCCATTTGTGTATCGTATTTGCCGAGTTTCTCAAAGTACGCTTTGTTGATGACAAACAGTCCGCCGGCAATCATAGGGGTCCTGATGGCTTGCGTCGGGTCCTTTTGTCTCGCCTGACGTTCTGTCTGGCTGAGATACTCCCATTTAAAGACCAAACTCCAATCGAACCCACCTCTGAGATCAGCAGATGCACCTAAAACAAAGTGGAAGACTAATAACAAAATGTTATTAAAAAAAATATGTAAAAATATTTAATATCTGAAAATGAGTCGAGCTTCTTTTTGAAACACGTACACAGTCGTGAATATTCATTAATTTTACGATGCGTTGAACAGATGAAAAAACATTGAAAAAAAGATTTCTTTGGATCAAATTTCCTTAATTGAAACAAATTTGTCTTTTGAAATGAAGCAAACAAACGAACGTTTGAAGTTAACAGTAAACAGGATTGTTTGGTTTCTAAAGCAATAAATATCTTTGCGTCAAATAACATATTTCTTCTATTTTTTTTTTTTTATAAAAAATTATCAAACGTTATTTCCTTTAAATAATACATTTTATCTATCAAACAACATGGTTTACTCTAGTGAAACAATATTTTCATTTATTACAAAATGAATATTTCACAAAATGATTTTTGAAATTAAATTATGATGTTTGTATTAAACAAAACAATTATATTAAACATACCCAAGTGAAACAAATATTTATCCTAAGACTAAATCCAAGGAAACTTTTTTTCTGTGTAGACACTTACCAATATATTGAAAAGTATCCATGCTGATTACATCGATCACTGGACATACCACCCTTGTTGGATCTTCAGCCACTCTTTCCAGGAGAGGCTCGAGCCAGTCGGCGTTACATTCGCAGTGCGAGTCCAAAAATGTCAATACACTCGCTGTAGCCGCGTCCGCACCCCGCACACGCGATCTCATGAGACCCTCCCTTTTTTCGTTTCTGATCACGCGAACCTTGTGGATGCGGGATAATTCTTCGCCGTCCTCCGCTGCAAACAGATAAATTTTTCTTGCTTCATGATATTTTCTTCTATTTTATGTCGATTACGCGCATATCACGTCTATATGTATTTGTGAAGAAAAAATAATAATTAGAATTTTGCATTTGCTGTATCAACAATAAATATTGCTCGTTGTTTCAAATATTAATGATTGTTTATCACTCGTACTTGTTCAATCAAGGCAGTTGAACGATTTCTTGCTAAGAAAAGATAAGTCCCAGATCGGTGTATGTGTGCCTGCGGATTTCGAAATCATAATTTACCGACACATTGCTTAGAGTCGTAAACAATGTTATAAATGATACATAAGCCACGGGCCATCTACCCACGCGTGCGGTATTAAACGTGATATTTAATATCAAGCATAATTCTCTGCAATTGAATATACATACAATTTACATTTTAATCGCGGTAAATTGCGTTTAATATTGTATGTAATATTCCCTTCGTGGCGAGTTGACCCATGAGTAATTCGTCTGTCACTCGCGTTAATTCTATATACGGATCTAATGATAGTTCATATTTCATATTGCTGCATTTTGCAGAATGATGTAAAAGCAGAATTTGAAATTCGCGTCTTAAATAAATCAAATGGCATTTCTCTGCAAAACACAAAAGCTGCTAGAATCTATAGAAATTGATTAATCTATTATTATATATAATTGTATAAATAAGTCAGGATATATAGTATGTAGAGCTACTCACGGTGGTCACTGAAGTCATCCACTAGAATAATTTCCTTGATGAGATGTTCGGGACTTCTATTCAGCACGCTAAAGGGACAAAAATATTAAAAATTTTATTTCAGAAAGCTAAGTTAAATTTAATAACATATACCCCGAGATGGTAATAAGCAATATAATAATATGTAATATTATTAATACATATGCGATAAATAATAAAATAAATATCATGTATAAAAGTAATATTTCATCCACATATTTTATTCCGTGCATATCCGACTATGTCGCCATTGCGCGATAAGACTTTAAATTTTAACATTGAGGTAAGATCGTTTATCAATATAATAAGCTGCCCTTTTTAAATTAACTCTCGACTTAAAACTCGACACGCGATTTCTTTTTTAATCATACTGTGTGTATTACTTCTATATATTATTTCTATATATAAATTTTTCCAGTCGATTAACGTCAAGTAAGCGGAGAAGCCTTCGGATTAAAGGGAGAAGAGAAGCTTCGGATTGTCCTATTGAATCTTTTATCAAAGTTTCAAGAACTTCGCTCCTTGTTTGAACGTTCTCGTGTCTCGACCCGTTCTGCTTGCGAGTTCGGTATAAGAGGATTGTTGCAAATAATTAGGGTTCTTCTTTTCACTAATTAAAACTCCATTCTAAGTCAATAAGGAAAGTTCAATATTTCGTGGTCATTTTTTTTTTATTAATCTCTCACGTCAACACACACTTTATTAATCATCTTAACTGGATAGTACAAAATAATTTCTCTTCAGCCTCTTCGTCTATCGCTGAAAATCTGTACCGGCATCTTAACTTTTACGGAAAACTTTGACAAGGCGTGAAATTGATCGCAGAAAATTTCGCGGCGCGTCTAAGTAATGGCGAGGTGCGGTCTCGTCGCGGTAATTAAGACTTCCTTTTAATTTCATCGACCGACGCGATAGGGCCGATATATTTCCCTGACGCTGCCATGTTACGGTCTTAAATAAATTTTCCGACTCTCGCCTGCTTCCTTCTTCCGGTTCGACGAGAACTTCGAGCAACTTTTGCGGAGGCTACCTCCGGCGAGTAATGCAGCTCATACCTCTCTTCGCCCCGCGGGGCGTCCTTCAGCGAAAAAATGTTTTAATTAATACGAAGACGCTTATGAGAAAAAAAACTAGTGATTTACGTCGTCGCGTCGTCTGGAGTGAAACGACACCGGGAAAAAAGACGGAGCCAGTTACGCGAGAAGTACGGAGTGAGAGATTTGAATCGCCGCCGATAAAATCGAAGCAGGAATATTGAATTGCTCAATTGCCGCAGCAATCGAACCTTTTTTTCGCTACTTTTTTGTTCTTTATTATTATTTGTGAAGTGAAGAAATCCAAGATATTTTAATGACAAAAATGAAGTAGGGGAACTTGAAGACGAAACCACGAGGCATAACGGAATATGTCGATAACTTTTTTATAGATATCTCGAGTTGACTTAAGTCCTCCATTAAATCTACTTAGCTATACATTAAGTTTTGAAGTGGAGAAAATGGAAATAATTTCCCATTTGTAGCATCAAAGTATAATAGAAGATCTTTGAAGACTTCATGTAAAATTGAAATTTCGATTCGTGATGCTGCGATATAATTAAATGTTTTATAATAATTACTGTTAGATGTTTCTTATGACGTGCTGTTATCATATTATTTTTAGCTGAAAATTGCTACAAATTGTTTAATACGTTCGCTGTACTCTCCGCGACTGAGTTGCAGTTTCTTTGATAATATTTGCTTAAGGTAAGCAATGATAAAATTCAGTTTTTTATTACCGTGAGTACATTTACGTTATTAAACGATCTTTTCTTATAAAGTCTTCGCGATCTTCACTTTAGTAAAGTATCTGTGCAAATATTGATTATCTGTGATGTTTTATATTACCTAAAGTAAACTTATACATTCTGAGGCATAACAGGGAACAGTCAACGAGACATAATGGTATAATGGATGCGCCGCGATATTAGATTAGTTCTACATTAATCGCCTTATCGCAAAGTTGCAAGAAACTGACTAATTATAGTCAATTATTTTGGATCGTAAAGAAAATAATTAACTGTGATTAGTCAATTTCTTGCGACCTTGCGGTTGTGCGATTAATGTAAAACCGGCCTTGATATCCGCCCTCGAATGTCTTTCGAAGATCTCTCGAATTCTTCGGTTCGTTTCGCACGCGTGTGTGTGTATACGAGCGCATATAATAAGTGCGAGGGATGGAAAACGATGGAACGACGATTAGAAAATTCCATCGCACGTCGTCGCCCATTGCTGGCTCACATTGAGGATCTTCCCGCGTTTTCCGCATCTCGCTGATGCGTCGAGAATGGAAGAACGTCGCGTCCATGATCGCGTGAGAATTTACCGATTGCCAATTACTTGATGTTTAGAAACTCGATCGTAATGACATGTTAAATATTGATGTTTCAATATTCTTTATTTTTATTCTTCATAGTATGTATTTATAATAAGAAAGAGAGGTAGAAGAAATGCATACCTAAAACTCTATTCGTTTGCATGCGTAATGTGATTGCGACACACAAATTATCAAGAGAGGACCAGGACAAGACTTGTCAGTTTAAATTGAAAGTATAACTGCCTTGCATTTTATGCATTGTTTCAAACTTACCTGACGACGGTTCTGAGTAGCGTAGACCGAGCCTCATTGTGGAAAGTAATTATAACGGAAGTCGGTGGAAGATCTCGTCTCCATTGTTTCATTCTACACCTGTAACGAGAAAATAGCGTAATTATGATGGATGCTCGGATGTGTAAAACAGATTAATGCTTCAAATAGAAACGAAAAAATTACTGTGCAAATAGAAAATATTCTGGTTCCGCCATACTGCGTATCGTATTTTGTCTGTACAGCGTGGATGCGATTTTCTAATATTCGATTGCTGAATGAAAATCGCCTGCGAACGAGAAACAGAAATGTAAAAAAACGAAAAATAGTACCTCTACATAAAATCTGGAAGCCTACAACTATCGTAAGATTGACAATATGTTCTCCGATATCTCGTACTTTATACAAACTAAAAGAATAGCCAAATCAATATCTCGATATCGCAGTGCGTAATAAGTTCCTTTTTCAACGAGATATTGGACCCTATAAATTATTGTTCAAATTGTTTTAGTATTTCGTCTTAGTTCCTTCTTAATATTGTTCACTAATGTGCCTATCAATTTATTCAATGAACTCGTCATTCGATTCCATGCTTGGTGGCGGATAACACATTGCATTGGAATGCTTCAATATTGGCTATTCGATCGATGCGGCATCGAATTATTGGTAAATATTGATTGGTTATCGCGGTCCACACACGGTTTCACTTCTATGTGTCCTAGATTAGCCAAATGTCCAGCTGGAGGAACATACGTCAGTCATATTTGCTTGTAATCTTATTGAGAAGGACGCTATTTAGACGCACAGAGTAGAACAAAATATGCACAAAATATTTCAGGAATAATATATATTTCCGCAATGTCCGCAACGTTATTGTCTTTCTATATAATTCTCTGTGAAATAAGTTAACGTTTAAAATTTGATAACAAATTAATTCGTAGATATATTCTCATCATTATTATTTCCTTTTCCTTTAAATTCTATTTTATATCTGTTAAAAACATAAAACTGACGTTTCGCATTGCAAATTCAAACCAAAGATTTCCATTGGTTTTTAATATAGATTAATTATCATTTTAACGTAAACATGAAAATCAATGTCTTTCGCACTTAAGTGATTGTGCCAATTAATTCTTACTTCACAGAAGAACAACTTCACTTTTCCAACGGTTTTTATTTCAAGTCACTAGGCCGTCTAGAAGTGAAGATATTGACGTTTGCATCGATCTGCGCTCTCGATCGGTCCAACATTATGGGATAAGTGAGGTAGGTCATGTACGGTACGCACATGAATGGAGAACAATAGCTGTATTCCGCAAACGCATTTCCAGGAAGCTATACTCGCGCCATACGCAACTGCACGCGGCAACGGCCTTGCTCCCACTTCGCGGCCCGGACAAGGATAGTCGTTTTGACCTCGCGGTCGCGCTACAGTGCCGGCCGTCCATCTCATAATCAGACGAAGACAGCATGTAAACAAACATACTGCGCTGGCGCGACAGCAAGTCATACCGGTGCTAATCAAGTCGAAACCTAACCTAATACCGCGATATTAATCGGCTATAACTTGCTAACGAGTCGACATAGCAACATGAAACAAAAAGCAATTTTTTCGGCACGCTCCTCCGCACATGTCTGAACTGAAAAAGACAGAATCGACAAATTTTGCTTAAACGAACAAAGTTTTTTTTAGACAACGTCAGTCTATTAACTGAATTATTGTCTTAATTTTTCATTGTTTTTAAGTCCAATTATCATAAATATTTATAATATAAGTTTCTACTTCTCAAAAATAATATTTTTCTAAAATATGTATTTTTTCAGTCGTGATTTTTACGAATGATTAATAATAATGCAAGTCACAGGATAGTTCAATAACCTCGAGTTAAACGAAGGCAATCGCCGATTTTGTCGATCCAACCGCTTTTTTTTATCGGTATATAGTGCTCTTTTATCGCCGACTTGGAAGAGTCGAGCGTCACGATCAATAAAAGCACAGCAAACACGCTTATGTGAACAACACGCAGCCTCTCTCTTTCATTCTCGTTAGAATTATTTACTTCAGTATGTCATTGCAATTTTGCAAGGTAGAGACGCAAGTCGTTCGAGGCACGCATTACGCGATCGATAAATAATGTGAGAATACTTCCCATAATTCCAGCCAGGATTTACTACGGATTTCACTTTTTCATCGTAATCTAGAGAGTTTTATGCGCTTGTCGCGAGATATATGCTGAGAACTTAATACCTGACCGTTCTTGACTCTCCTGACTCGCGTATCGCGTTATAAATTAGAAACGAAACGTATCGAAACTGTGGCATAAATTAGAACAGATTCGAACATTCGCAACAGTCTCAAATTACGTTAAATTCGTTGCACCGCTTCTGTAAAGATATTTTGCGCGAAATTCGTATCGTTTTCTTCTCACAGATGGTCACAAAAATCTAGTAGTCAAGGACATCAATATAAATTAAAATTCCCTCGTGTTTCGCAATTCACTTTTTTCTAGAGTGCATTTGCAAATTTACTCTTTAAAATGCATATTATTTTGAGCAGCTCAAAAGTTTGATAAGAAAAGAATAAAGAAAGTTGAGTTTGGGAGTTGGCGATGCTCTTTAATTTATATAAAGCAATGAGTGAGTCAGCAAAATAGATTTTTAATGCTATTTTAATTTCAGTTTAATTATTGTGAAGCTTTAAGTTTTCAGTTCGGTGTTCTAATAACGCATGTACCATATAACATATGTCTTTTATTATGATATCGAATTTTACCTGACGGTTCAAGTCGTCGGCTAATTTATTATTAATGACGCACGACATCACAAAGAATGAGCTAGACGATTTCATTTAATCGTAATTGCGCATTCGCTTCGAATCCACGCGGGACCTCTTCTCCCGTATTTATCGTCGGAAGATGAAAATAGAAAAGGATCGTAAAAGCCACAATCGTGATACCGTGGCTGTAATGTATCGCATTCCGAGCTTGCAACAAGACGCGAGGAGGATGACGGGAGCAGCCTAAGCGCCAGAAACGGCGCTTAAGCAGAGGAAATAAGAAGGCAGAGAGAGAGAGAGAGAGAAAGAGAAGAAAATAAGAGGACAATCACTTGGGGCACCGAGCCGGTGTAGAGGGTACATAAATGCGGTGCGCCCGACGACCAGAACGATCCCAATATGTCAGCCCCTCTTTTCCGAGATAAACTCGTGAGACGTGCGGCGAATGCAGTTACTTCGGCGCATAGGTGCGCGAATGCACTTTTTCGCGCCGTCGCGCGTCAAACGAGATCGCGAGAAAGTTCTGCACTGTCGCCGGAAGCTATCGCCTTGCGCGCGAATCATCGTCGGCCAGGAAGATGATCGGTAAACGCGTGACTGTGATTTATTCGTTCGAGGCCGGATTTGCGTCTTTCGAAATCAGATGTCCACGCTGATAGTCTGTGTACTTTATATGCGATCTTTACTTATTTCTCACATACATGGTCTGCACGTAACGTTTGAGAGAACTTTCACAGCTTATCTTCTATAACCGTGAGTTTCTTGTCAATTCCGTTCATCGTCAACCCCGCATTAATCATCTTCTGTGCAAACCAATCGATCGAATTCTCTAAGCTAATTAGTAACCGATGTCAACATATGTTTGTAGTGTGTTCTCGTCGAGAGTGCTGTGAAGGCTTATATACAATGAAGGTGATAATCAACGAGGAATTAAATAGGGAATTAGGAGTAAGATATTAGAAATAAAGTATAGTTTAAAACATGATAAAAGGATCAGATAATAAGATATAAGAATGTTATCGATTCGAAATTTTAGTCTTACATTAAGTCTAGATTAGTTCTAAATTAAATCTTCAAAGGTCTTCCATTGTGCTCCTTTGATATTATAAATGGGAGTACATTTCCACCTTCACCGTTTGAAGATTTAATGGAGAATTTAAAATTCCGACTCGGGTTTTAAAACGAGATCACCACTTTTACCACGCATTTTCTAATGAATCTCTAATGTTATGATTAATACTTTTATCATTTTCTCGATAATTATCGATTAATTCGAACTGTCTTTCATTTGTACATTGATGATCATTAGACATTTGGAAAGTTAACTATCAGTCAACTACTAAGCCCTATAAGTGCACAAGTTATAATGAATAGAACGTGTCGACAGTGTTCCTAATTGTGAATGCCATTTTTCTTTTATACTTTTAGAGTATATAATAACTCGATAAAATCCTTTTTCGATATGTCGGATTATAACGAGTAATTATAAATTTTGGAGAGCACATTCTTACATAAACCCATTATTAAAGTAAATTTCTTGCAACCATTGTTCCCATTTCATTTTTCTTCTTTCATTTTTTTACTCGCTTGTTCCAAGTGTCACCGTGCAAAGAAAATGGCAGACTTTCGATGTATCGAATTTCATTGGGCTTTTCTATTTATATATAGGATTCTACTACGTGTGTAGTAGTGGCATCCCGCATCAGTGGTTGGGGCTCCCGCATCCCACGCTCAGTGAGCCCTTAGATCTGATCGGTATTTATTTTTGGATCTAAAGGTACAAACAAATCTTTGTTGAAAAGAAATGAATGAACAAGCACCAGAGTGAACATCCGAACATTCGCCTTCGACATTGGTTCGCTGTTCGTTCGTTATTCGTTCGCTAATTATAGCTAAGCGGTCGAAAAGGATACTTTTTTGGGTGAGTTTTTGAACGCAATCTGTGTCCAACAAGAGAATTTGTTTCTTAGTGATTCTCAGGAAAAACATTTTTCTACTGGATACGTTGCGAAACTCATCGAAAAAAATGTTGCAACTTTTTTGTGATTGACCATATATACACACATTAGCAGCATTCAAATTCGATTTATCGTTCCGGTCTTATTTCTGGCGCAATCGAGTGCCTCGTGGTGGTTAGCAAGCATGGTAATGAGTAATTTACACACTCATCACCGTGCTTCGGTGTGCCTTCGCTCGAGCGCGTCGCCGCCGGAGAGACGATGTGGGAATCGACAAATTAATTCGGGGGACCATAATTCCGCATTAAACCGGGCTAGTCTCTGCGGCGACATGTTTGTCGACAACGAAATTGCACGCGAGCCTTAAA